AATCCTTACTTACCGCATTTTAACAGGGAAGCTTGGACGGGACTTGCGCTGGCTATTTAGACCCGCTATGTTTCCTTGTCTTCGCGGTCATCCAATGAAGCTACACAAGCCGCGTTCTGACGGGATCAAGGCGGAAACTCGGTTATCGCGTAGAGTCATCGAGCGCTGGAACACGCTTCCAGAAAATGTAGTCAGTGAACCTACGGTTGAGGGTTTCGAGCGTCAGTTAGACGCTCTTGGGTGACAACACGAAACCTTTCCCTTCTCCTGACCATATCCATCATAAAGCGTTTATTTCTTATTCTACCGTTCTCTTCACGCTTTGGTGTTATCGTTCATTTTAATGGCTTTCATTCCCCTTTATCTTCCATTAACTTTCTACTTCTTTCTTACTTCACGTAACCTACACAGTGGGGACTGCTAGTGCAGGGAACGTGGGCAGTAATTGGTTGATCAGGGTGTGTAGGGTGTTTCGCTTCAGATCTATTAGGATCTAGCACCTTATCATTTCCTGGCTCAATGATTTGCTCAAGTAGGAACACTCAAGTGATTTTTCTATCGTCCCAGTCCATCTGCACCCGCAAACAACCGTACAATGAAATGTCGCTAATACTGAAGGAGGGTGTTTTCCGATAGACTACAGACATATCAAACAGGGCCCCTAGAGGTGTATCCGCCTCGGTGTTTGGCAAGGCAGCCATGTTCATGTGGAATTTCGTTTTAGATGTATCAGGACCTGGCACGTTATCATTTCCTGGCTCAACAGTTTGCTCGAGAAAGAACCCTCAAAGTATTTTCCTATCGTTCCAGACCATCTGTATCTGAATCTGAATCTGAAACAAGTGTACAATAGTAAAACGGACCATGACAAGGCCTGCTTACTCAGTTGGCAGTATGCGAAAGCGTTTGTAAGGGAAACGTTTTTGACGGGCGTTGAGCTGGTTTGCAGTACCCCAGAGGGTACAAAACCATCTGACTTTACTGTAAAGGAGACGGAAGTTCGTAGGCTGTTAGAAGGGCTGAACCCTTCTAAGGCCTCTGGGCCTGGTTTAATTCACCCGAAAATGTTGAAGGAGTTGACTGCGGAACTAAGTGGACCGCTCGCTATTGTGTTTCAGAAATCGCTTGACAGCTTGCATTGCCTTCTGAATGGAAGGAAGCTGTCAGCTGTCTCATCTTCAAAAATAGGGACAGGGGACTGCCTGCAAATTACAGGCCAGTTAGTCTGGCGAGGGTAGTAGTCAAACTCCTTGAGAAACTGGTGAGATATTCATTGGAGAGTACTCTGAGTAGAGTTCATCTACTTAGCAATATGTAACACGGATTCCGGAAGGGATTTTCGTGTCTGACGATTCAACTGGCGGCTCACGAAAAATGGGCGGATACAGTAGATGACGGCCACGCGCTGGACGTGCTTTCCGTCGACTTTTCGATGGCATTTGACAAGGTATCCCATTTGAGGCTCACGCAAAAGCTGTCCACCTACGGGGTATCTGGCCGCGACCTTCATTGGGTGACTGCCTTCTTGCAGGGTAAAGAACAGTGTGTACGGATAGGCCGGGGCCTATCGTTTAGGCGATCTGTCCTCAGTGGCGTGCCGCACGGCTCGGTCCTTGGACCGCTGCTGTTCGCAATATAGTTGCATGACCTATCCGCGGCGATTGAGGTACCATCGCTGCTATTTGCTGATGACCTGAATCTGTGGAATATTATCGATGTTCTTGGGGGTTCCGAAGCTATTCAGCGAGCATTGGATAAGCTTTGGGACTGGTCTACTTTATGGCTACTGCCCATAAATCAAGCAAAGTGCTCCGTTCTTCGAATATGAGGAGGTTGTCCTCCTACGAAGTACTTGGTCGGCGGGGTAGAACTCCCCGTGTATATAGCCAGATTGACCTAGGCGTCGTACATTCTTCGGCTTTCCACTCCTGCGGCATCTTTACGAGGTTATTCTGGGCTTTCGCTCGGCCTCCTCTGGAATACCGCGTCCAGGCTTGTCCGTCCCGCCTCGTCCGGGACAAAATGGAGCTAGATAGGGTTTTACGAGTGCGTACTAGGTTAGTCAAGGGATTACGGGGACGGACGTACCCCGAGCGTCTAATTAATTTGGGAATGCATTCAATGCACTACGGAAGGCTTAGAGAAGACCTAATCCAAACCTACCGTATCTTAACTGGGAAGGTTGGTCCAGATTTATCTTGGTTAGTTTGTCCGCTAGATTGTCTGTTCTATGCGGCCATTCCTTGAAGCTGGACAAACCGCGGTCCGATAGGATTAGGGCTGAAATTTGGCTTTCACGCCGAGTTATCGACCACTGGAGCATGGTTCCGGAGCGTGTTATCAAGGAATCTACGATTAAGGGGTTTGAGCGGCAACTTGTCTCCTTGGGTGGCAACACGAAACCTTTCGTTTTTCCGGACTAACACGCGTCTTCGTACTTCCATTTTCTTTTCTCTACTTTTCCTCACGCCTTGGCATTATTTTCTTATTTAAGTGCACTCCTTATTCTGCACCTTCGATTTCTCTTCCTATCCTTTGCTTACTTCACGTGACTGCCACAGCAAGGACTGCTAGGGCAGGAAACGTGGGCATTACCTCTTTGGCCAGGATGCGATAAGGGTGTTCTGTTTTAGATCCATCGATAACCAAACTCTTCATCAATGCCTGGCTCTACCATCCACTCAAGATGGAACTCTCACGGGATTCTGCTATCGTTCCAATCGCATCTGAACTGAACTGAACTGACCGCAATAAGTCAAAAACTGGATTAAAACCGAGAACAACCGGAAGATGTACCTGTAAGCACCAAAGACGTTTTCCAGTACTAAATTAATCGATTCAAGATAGCTTGGACCAGAGAAGATTTGACAAAAGTCAACTTTTGTTCCAAGTGTTTGTTCAAACTCCGTTTCCCACGTTTGTCATTTCGTGGAAATGCAAGTCCTTAAACTGCTGCAAGAACTGAACCCTTACAAAGCAGCTGGACCTGATTCAATTCACCCGAAGCTTCTGCATGATTTGGCGGGGGAACTAAGTGGACCGCTGACGATAGTGTTTCAGAAATCACTTGACAGCTGTACATTACCTTCCGAATGGAAGGAGGCTGTCATTTGTCCTATCTTCAAAAATGGCGACAGGAGTCTGTCAGCCAATTATAGGCCAGTTAGTCTGACTAGCGTCGTGGTCAAACTGCTTGAAAAGCTGGTGAGAGATTCGTTGGAATGTCACCTGCATAGATTTCATTTGCTCAGTAGTGCACAACATGGATTCCGGAAGGAATTTTCGTGTTTGACGAATTTGTTGGTTGCTCGTGAAGCTTGGTCCGAGGCAGTGGACAATGGCCACGTGGTGGATGTGCTTTCCGTAGACTTCTCGAAAGCATTTGATAAGGTACCCCACTTGAGGCTATCACATAAGCTGAGGTCCTACGGCGTATCTGGCCGCGCCCTTCAATGCGTATCTGCGTTTTTGCAGGGAAGAGAGCAGTGTGTATGTGTGGGTCGCAGCTTATCCTTTAAGCACGCGGTCCTCAGCTGTGTCCCACAGGGCTCGGTCCTTGGACCGATGCAGTTCAACATCTACGTAAACGATCTCCCTGGAGAGCTTAGGGTATCATCCCTATTGTTTGCTGATGACCTTAAGCTATAGAATGTTGTAAATGTTCCTGGGGGTTCTGAGGCCATACAGCATGCACTAGACAGACTCTGGGACTGGTCTACTTTGTGGCTACTGCACATAAATCAGGCTAAGTGTTCCGTCCATCGTCTAGGAGCAACTTTCCCGCCATCGAGCTACGTACTCAGTGAGGTCGAACTCCCCGTTGTCTCCAACCAGGTAGACCTAGGTGTCGTTCATTCCTCGTCTTTGCATTCTGGTGACAACTAAAAGAAATCCGCTAGTAGGGGTTTCAGAATGTTGTGGTTAATACGCCCTTCTTTCGGGGTCTTAACTGACGACATATTTGTGAAGCTGTTCTCAGCTTTCGTTCGGCCCCATCTGGAATACTGCGTCCATGCTTGCGCGCCCTGCTTTGTTCGCGACAAAATGGAGCTCGAGTGGGTTTTGAGAGTAGGTACCAAATTGGTCAAGGGGTTACGGGGGCAATCGTACCCCGAGCGTCTACTTAGCTTGGGTATGTATTCAATGCACTACCGACGGCTTCGAGGGGACCTAATCCTTACTTACCGCATTTTAACAGGGAAGCTTGGACGGGACTTGCGCTGGCTATTTAGACCCGCTATGTTTCCTTGTCTTCGCGGTCATCCAATGAAGCTACACAAGCCGCGTTCTGACGGGATCAAGGCGGAAACTCGGTTATCGCGTAGAGTCATCGAGCGCTGGAACACGCTTCCAGAAAATGTAGTCAGTGAACCTACGGTTGAGGGTTTCGAGCGTCAGTTAGACGCTCTTGGGTGACAACACGAAACCTTTCCCTTCTCCTGACCATATCCATCATAAAGCGTTTATTTCTTATTCTACCGTTCTCTTCACTCTTTGGTGTTATCGTTCATTTTAATGGCTTTCATTCCCCTTTATCTTCCATTAACTTTCTACTTCTTTCTTACTTCACGTAACCTACACAGTGGGGACTGCTAGTGCAGGGAACGTGGGCAGTAATTGGTTGATCAGGGTGTTTTTCGGGTGCTTCGTTTTAAATCTATCAAGAACTAACACCTTAACATTTCCTGGCTCAACGATTTGCCCAAGAGGGAACACTCAAGGGATTTGCCTATCGTTCCAGTCCATCTGAATCCGAATCTAAAACGCTCGATCAGTATGGCACGCCGAGAAATCGAGTTATCGCATAGTACTCACAGAGTATTTGGAAAAAACCGAGAAAAATAAAAACAAACCTAAGTATCAGCTGGACCTTATCACGTCGACAAATATGGTGATTCATCTGTCTGGCAAGAAAGAAGGACAACAACCTTAAGGTCACAGCCGGCGTTCTCTGCGAATAGACAGTTGGCCCTTAGGTGGCGCTTGTCCGTAAACGTCCTATGACGTTCTATGATCGCTTTTTTTCCGAGGATCTTCCGAAGGTGTGCTCATCCTTATAGTTCATAGGATTCTTAACCAGTACAAGTATGCTTCACAAGTCCGAGAAGATGTTAAAAGAGTCTTGGTTTCCTACAAGCAACTTCGGCCGAAAATCGATAATTTTAGTGGGTTTTTTATTTTAGTTTATTCTGCTCTAGTTTTCAACGATGGAACTTCTCAGGATCTCGTCTGTTTGGAAGGCACCATTCCTGTACTGTACTTAAATTCTACATACAATATTCCTGTTGCTATATTTCTAAAACAGTCACACCCTCACGCGGCTCCCATGGTGTATGTGAGGCCCACTTCTACCATGCAGATCAAAGCTAGTGAATTCGTCGACAATACTGGGTTAATCCAGCTGCCCTACATTTCCGAATGGAAACACGTAAGCATTCTTCTATCTTTTGCGGACTTGCTTGTTTGCCTTGCTTCCCATAGCTTATTGCCCGCTTATCACTAGTGATTGATTGGTGTAATATGTCCACACGAGTGGACTCAAGCCTATGATTCCGTCAACGCTTTCTCAATGTGGTTTTTACCGGCTTCACCCCTTGGTCCACTGCTATTTGACTTTGCAGCTGAACTTGACGTCGTCCGTTTTCCTAGAGTGGGATCATTATATGAGTAACTGAAAAGAAATTTGGCTTTTTTTAGTTCCCTTGTAATTCAGAAAGACTTGGGAGTTTCAACATACTCGGAATCTGCTGGTCCATCGATCATCATAGTGTCTAAGTCTTTAGATTGTGATTATGTTGTCACCTGTGGCTCAAAGTCAGTTCAATGCTCTTTCTGAGACGGTTGGTTGCATATCACTTGTCGTGCTATCATAAACTTTGTATGAATGCCTTCAGGTGTCTGTATTTTCCTCTTGGTATCTTTTGTGACTCTTCTTACTTTAGTTAACAACCAGCGTGCTCAGTCTGGTTTATCTGCTTTTACTCCACGCTACGCACCTGGAGAGTCTGATCCACAACAGACTGTTTCACAACGTTACCTTTGCCTTTTGTGTTTTTCTGGTTTTGTCATGCCAGTTGGTAACCATACTCCTGCTCTATCCGTACCACTCGGAGTCACAAACGTCTAGTGACCAGTCCAGTAAACCCATGCCCAAGACCTTTGCGACAGTCGTCAAGACGAACACGGCGCCAGGTTTCACAAACCAGGCTCCTGTGGTGCATAAGTATAAGCCTATAGCCAATCGCGGGCTGAAATCAGTTCTTCATGAGATCGGCCATTTGGAGAGGCTGGTTAAGTACAAGCCGCCTTATAAGCCACAGATCTCCGAGGTCACCAAACTCCCCAACCGGGAACGTTTTCTCCTCATAATGAGTCGGCTAAAACGACGACAGCCGGGAATTTTCGTTGCACGATTATTTTAAAACGTATGAGAGGAATCGTGAATCAATGTCGTTCCTGCTTTTCATTTTAACAAAAAGCATTAATGTTCCTCCAGGGTATCTCCACTTAAGATTGTATGCCAGAGTGAGGATGAATTCCGCCGGATCATTCGGTGGACTTCATGCTTCAAAGGGGGACCGCTGCAGTTGCTGAATTAAGAACCCGCCATGCGAACGGTGAAACCGATTTGCTTATTGTGGGTTTCCACTTAGTTCGGAAAGTACAGAGAACTCGCTAGAAATCGGTCGCTGTCATTCCCGGACATAACCATCAGCAACTGGATCGCACATACTGTTTGCGAACATGCGCAGTCTACGTAACAAACTGGATGAAGTTGTGCATCTTGTCTCAGTACTCCTCCCTGGCCTTATAGCGTTTAACATGGTTGTCCCCAGAAATCCCAGATTCCGATCTACATATTCCTGGTCACAATCTCTCACGAGCTGATCGCATTGGTGTGTTGTCGGGTGCGGAAGTTATACTTCACCGGAAAGAGAATCTGGAGGCCCATTTAGTCGATATTGTGTTGGGTAGCGATGACTTCTCCGGAGTGTTTTGGTCTCATATTCAAGATAGATGTAGATCCCTCCTCGGTGACTTCTACAAGGATCCCTTGAGTTCTGGTGATCGTTTACTGGGGTTCCTAAAAAGACAGGGTGCACGAATTGCTTATTATTGGGGGACTTGTCTGACCCTAATATTGTTTGGGATCTATATTATGATGCTGCACCCGACTCGTTCTATTCTACGTTTCTAATAACCGTTCTTGAAAGCAATTTAGTTCAGCACGTTACGGAACCTCACATTTTCCCTGGTCAGACGCCGCATATACTCGGCCTTGTGCTTTCTCTTGCACAACTGGATGTTTTTGATTTAAACGTTTTACCATCAATCGGGAGAAGTGACTACTGTCTGCTTTTCCTTCACTGGACAACACCCTTTAACGTTCACAACCACTGTGCCCATCGTCGGAATATCTGGTGTGCTGATCCAAACCGCTTGAAGATAGCCGCTAGCGAGCAGAATTGGAGTCTTCCTCAACACTTAGACGTTGATAGTGCTTGGAGTCTTGTTTACTCAAAAATGCTGTCCGTTAGTTATGAAGTAGTTTTTATATCCAATCGAAAACCCTTCGCTATTGGTCCCCTCTGGATTGACAGAATTACGATCGCTCACAAATCATGAACGTAAACTTTGCAATCGCTGTAGGCTTTCGAGATTGGAGACTGACTCATACACACTACACACGTTAGCTAGAGGTGGGAAACACCTCAGCTACAGGGAATAAAATGCAACAGGCGCAAGCCAGCTGAGCTACCGGTAACGGATGGGCGTCGTTCCGATAAGCTACCTGCAGGCTACAATGTAGCGGGAAATATTAGTTTACTATGCAAAATTATAAAATGCTAAATAATGTGCTCGTGGTTGGAGGGGGGGCCAAGAGAGTTGGGGTGGGACAAAGAAACTCACAGCACGAACGCCATTGATGTTGGCTTCTAGTCATATCAACAAGCGTATCCAGCCAAACGTCTTCATCGCCTTTCTGACCCCAACCGGAAACTGACTCATCATCACTATCATTATACACCTTAGCTAGAGGTGGAAAGCACCTCAGCTACTGTGCCGCATTGCATAAGAAATGAAAAGAAAAAAACAACTACAGGTGCACGCCAGCTGAGCTACGATTAACAGATGAGCATCGTTCCGGAAAGCTACCAGCCAGCTACTATGCAGCAAAAAACTTATTATGCAAAATTATGAGACCGCAGTTGGAGGAGAAAGCTAAATGGCATGGGAAGGGACAAAGAAACTCACAACTCGAATGCCACTGAGGTCGGCTCCTAATCCCGTCAGCAAGTGTATCCAGCGTAACGTGCTGTTCCTATTTGGGACCCCAACCAAGGAGCCGAGAGTATCCAACCTAGGTCAGCATCAAAGTAACGGCTTTCATTGCTCTCGGCCAAGTCATCGCTTGGCCACTGCTCCTCTTCTTCCATCCACACCCTGGCGCGCAAACAACGCACGTCGCAGGAATCTGTGAGCTCGCATACGCAACACGTATCCCAGTCCTCAGCCGGATGCGTGAATTAATGGTTCTGAGCGGTTCATTTACTCTTCCTGTGACATAAACAAGGCGTCGAGCCTGCTCATTGCTCACGCGGTGTTCCCATCGGATTTGAACCAAACTGCGAAAACATCGGTGGTCGAACGTAACTAGCCTCCTTGTGTCTGCTGATCTAGTGGACTGGATTTCACAGCCGTGAAGAAGATTTGAACGGACGGCCGCGTTGTACACTTTACGAAAACGCCATAGGTGGCGAAGGTTAGGATAAACGCCTTAATCCCAGGGGCGCTGATACAACTTCCCAGATAGTGGAGTTTTTGAACGACTTCTAGCTGATCCCCACCCAGAGTCAGCGCAAGATGCAGTCCCTGCCAATCATCTAAGAAACCTTTGCAATTCGAGGATGCAAAGCGTAGCCCGAAACGGCTGACAGCCAGTGCTAATCTCTCCAGTGCCGCTTGGCATGTTTAGGATCTGTCACATTAGGACAATATCGTCAGCATATTCCAAGTCAAGAAGTTCTTCGTCTGGGAGCAGCTTCATGCCTTCTAAGTCGTGTGCTGTGAACGCGATCTTCAGGACTTTTTCGGTGGTGAAGTTAACGAGGAAAGTTAACAGCGGGCATCCTTGTCTAACATCACTGACTGTGCAACTCATAAAATGGTTTGAAAACCTGTGAGACGGCAGCAATACGAAAGTCATTTGGCTGAACAGTCCAATACATCACCAAAGCTGTTTTTCTCATACCTAAAAAGGCACCAGAGCCGGAAGTGGGATACCGGCCTTGTAATCCCACGCGCAATACACCGTGCTCCACCATGATACTGAGAAACACTACTTTTTAGCTTGCCAATATTGTCAGTATTCATAAGTGGCACCACTCGCCAGTGGGCCAATTTAGTCCTTAACATATTTGTAAAAGTATATTTACGGAAGTAGGTTTGAACGATCATCTATATCAGTGAAGGACATGTTTGAACTGTCCGCCGGCGTTACGCTTGCAGTGCAGAAACCGCTTGATTCAGTTGGCGAGCACCTTCTCCAGTGTATCCCTCGTGATCTCGCGATCTTTCATAATATTCTCTCTAAGTTACTCCAATGAATGCGGCCTTGTTTTGTATGCTCTCCGCTTCATATAACCCCGTAAGAAATCCAGTGGATTCAAATCTGGTGAGCGAGCAGGCCACTCCATTGGTCCGTCGCTTCCGATCCAACGATGACCAAATTTGTCGCTGAGGTAAGCACGCACTGTTTTAGCAGAATGTGCAGGTGCGCCATCCTGCTGTTAACAAATGCCACTGCATACCCCTACGTCCTCCAGCTGTAGATGCACAAATGTCTGGAGCATCTCCAAGTGCGACGATGCTAGGAAATGATAAGGCTTTAGTGCTTCAAAACTACAACCTACCGGTCCCATTTTTGGAAAAAACATGATCCCAAGATTAGCTAGCTCGTTACTGCAGCCCAAACCATTTGTTTGACACTGTGCTTCATACGGAATGCGGTATATCCATGGATTACTGGTATCCCAAGGATTCTGTTTCACTGTTCCATGTAGATGTAATAGTGCCTCATCTCTAAACATGACAGAATGACGGGAGTGTCTGTTGCTGCTTTATTACTTGAGGCAGTGATTCAATGACAGTGACACTACTTACGCTGACCAATATCGCCCTCATCTAATCCAAAAGCTCGCTGCGCGCGTGATATCATCACTGGCGCACATTCACGCCTCACGTGTGGTTGCCTACACCGACTTGGCTGGGTAGCATAGATTTTTCGCTTTGCCCAGCCTGTCACACTGATAGCCATCGATCGCTCCAGTGCATACGTTTGGCCATAACCTTCGGAGCGAAGTTGGCTGACAGCTGGAAGCTAATGTGGCTGTCTGTACTCATCTTGCTCGACGACAAAAATGGGCT